GTTAGCTTCTTAACATGTTACACATAATACCAATGAAGAAGCATTTTTATGGCTCTCCATTCTCAAAATATTTTAAAACATAAGACTTGGATAACTCTAAAAATAATCTCTCACTTTTATACAGTACATCAAAATTTATAAAATGCTTCTACATACATGATGATAGTTTAGCTTCATAACAACCATGAGCCATGCATTACTATTGGCAAAATCCTTTCCTCAATGACTACTTTCTAGATTACCTCAATGCAGAAATTATTTTCATTATTGCACTGTGTACTATATCTTTGGGTGCGATGTCAAGAGGGCCAACGGCCACCTCCAGCAGCTGCTGAATCATTCTTAGAGGCTGCCCATCTAAACACATGGCCACAGCTTGATCATGAAGTTTCCCTTTTTCCGATCGGGACAGATCATAGAGGTGACTGTATTTCTGCAGTGTTTCCTGCAAAGACACAGTAATCAACACCTAAGTATCCAATAGAAATTAAATACATGTACATGGACATAGCGAGACATATTCAGAAGATCCTTGAACCAAATGCATTACAACCTGCAAAGCCATGCCAAAGGGCATGTATTGGTTATTAAGTGCTTAGCCTCAAGGGCCACCAGGCTTGAGGGCAAATCCTTGCTTTACCATTTATTAGGTGGTGGGCCTGTATGATCTCAAATTTTAGCATCTGTAAAATGGGCGTGAGGACAATAGGGTCCTGTAAATAGAGGGCATTGTGACATTAACTGAGATAATACACCAGTCAGTCCTGTAGCACAACACCAGACATAAATGCTCAATAAGTATGAGTTTTTCTATTATTATTACACTATACTCATATAATAATTTATTGACCAACTATGTAATCCCAGGTACTGTACATATGTTATCTAATTTAATATTTATAATAATCCTACAAGTACTTTTAATTAGCCCCATGTTATTAAAAAGGAAACCGAAGACCAAAGATATTAAATAACATGCCAAAGTCACATGGCTAGAACTAGGATGAGAATCCAAAAGTCTGCTCTTCCACCCCACATGCCACACTGCCTGTCTTTGAATATGTATAAAAACTAATGGTACAATAAACAATTTAAGAAATAGGATACAAGCTATTGTTTTTAAGCATACCAAATATGGTCACTTAATGATGATAATACTTTCCAGGTTCTTTATAGTTTCCCTAGTAATCCTAAATATACTGTTTTGCCTTTGAAAACAAACATGGGAAAAGCTGAATATTAAGTGGATATATGATATTAAAGAATTACTATTAACTTTTTTGATGGTAATAACATTGTAGTGGTTATGTTTAAATGTATCTTTTAGATATAGGTACCAAAGCATTTATGGATAAGACAAAGAGATGACTGGAATTGACTTTAGAATAATCCACAGGAGCGAGGTGAGAGTAGGTAGGGGTAGGCGTGAAGTAAGATTGGTCACATTTTGATAACTGTTGAAGCTGGGAGTTGAGGACATGAAGTTTCATTTTACTACTCTCCCCACTGTGAAACTTTCCATTTTGGAAAAATCCCCATGAGTTAGGTAGGGCAATTACTAATATCCTCACCTGAGAGAAGAGGGAACTGAGGCTCCATAGGACGAAGGCTTGCAGCTTACATTGCACTAACCCGCATGAAGATA